GAAGTCTACCGGTATTTGCAGGTTCCCCACTCGATCCTATTCTTACTCTATAACCTGATAAATAAATTGCTGCATCAACACTAGCTTCCAAGACAAAGCGTATATGACAAAAATTCTTCTTAGAAAGACGCAAAGTAGTTATCTCTCCACATCGTTCAAATATTTCCTGTATTATAGCTTCGGTAATGTTTTCCGGCAACCCTGTGTAGATAGTATGATTACGTAAATATTTTTGAATATTGATCATCAATTCAATGTGCAATGCTTACCTCCCACAAAAATTGTTCTACATCCTGGTGGTCTCTCTCGCGTGGTAGGCGGTGGAGCGTTCGGATTTGGTGGAAATAATACACAACTTTTACAATGTATGATTTCTTTGGTACCCTGAGGCGTCATTGGTGGCGGTGGTAAGCTTGCGGTCATTATCTGTGCTGCATCTGTCATAATCTGTTCAGCGCCCAATATCTGAGCGCCTATCATACTACCATCATGTGACATCATACCCATACCCATTGGATTATAACCATGTGTGTGACTCATATGTGGACCAAGTGTCATCTCGCCCATCATGGGTGCCATTGGTCCCATGGGACCCATACCCATCATGGGATAACCCACTCCCATTCCCCAAACACCTGTGGCAGGTTCCATCTGTGTGCCTATGCTCGGTGTATTGTTTGTATTTGTCGACGATAAAACTTCATTGTTGTTGATGTTGTTAGAATTGTTTGCATGATTGCTATTATTCTTTGAAGAATTTGGGTTATTTCTTTCTTCGGTTCTTCGATCGTCTCTACGATCTCGGTCGCTTCTCTCTTCCCTTCTGTCACGTTCTCTGTCGCGTCTATCGCTGCGTTCTCCCCTTGACCTTTTGCAACATAATACACACAAGCTATAACTAAATTCTAAGCAGATAAATTATATGAGACTGTAATTATTATTCATGCAATTTGTCATTTTTCCCATATAGTTTGACAAAACAAACAAAAATAAAATATTACCTTCGGTTGTTGTCTCGTGCTTCGCGACTATCTCTGTTCTCCCGATCTCTTCTGTCATTCTTATCGCTTCTTCTATCGTTGCTATCATCCGATGTTTCTCGCACTATTGGAGGCTGATTCTTATTCGTACTAAATTCCAAAGGTGAGTCGTTCATGCCAGGTAATGGTATGGGCGGTGGTGGCAGCGGTGGAAAACCTTGACCCGCTAGTTCCATAAAGCTCTGTGGTCCTGCTATTGGACCTAGCGGACCTATCGGTCCCATGCCTATAAATTGTATATCAGTAAAACAAACGGTGACATACACAGATTTGGATGGAATGGATTTGAAGGAACGCAAATGAAGTAATAATTAAAGGAATCGGTTATCGCTCACCCATGGGTGGCATAGCGGTTGCTGGTACTCCGGGGAAGTTGTAAGCCATTTCTCGCGAGATGATCTTCAATTTGTATTCACAGAAGGCGAGAAGCCTCTGAATTCCAAAATACTCCGCTCGTTGTTATCGAAAGTCGCGGAGATGGCGGCGATGAATGTACGGAGTGGCTACCAGTGGCTACTATCTATCGCATCGGATCGTAATTATGCGGCGCGGGAATGGTAGTACACGTGAGTACGACAGATGACACCACCGCTTGATGGTCGTATGTCGTATCGTTCAATATTATACATATCACATTTGTTTTACTTTTAAATATATGTTTGATATGTTAAATAAAGAAAAAGAAGGAATCAAATGGTATTGCAAGTATTTCAATTATCACACACTCTCATGTTTCTTCTGAAACACTAACATGTAGCTGTGTTGCGTACAGTTACGTACAGATGTAGCTGGAAGGAGTAGCACCTGCAATCACATGCTACTCCGTTTGGTTGCCATTGTAGCAACGGCCGGTGTGTAAACATAGATGGCTGTCTCCAAACATCAAATTTTGTCAAGACATTCTCGTTACGTACGTCTTCTCCATACTCTTACGTATGATTCATCACATGCAGAGGATACTTACCTTTTGCATCTTATTGCATCTTACATCGAGCACAGTAATGATTAGCGCGTTTTGTCTGAGGTACGTGTTTCTGTCTCATCCTTAGATAGCGACGTTTGTATCTTAAATGGATGCATCTCACAGTATACATACATGTTTGTTTACTTAAGTAAATCTATAAAAGCAATACAGAAATGAAAACAATACATGAGCGATAATAATAATAATAATAAATCTGAAATAAAATCAGAAAAACGTAACCTCATCAATTAACTTGTTTAATTATGTTGCAATATGACGGTTGTTCTATTAGATTTTAGCCATCATGATACATTTATAATGACAGTTTAAAATAATGACATATCTTTTCTTTTCTAATTATATATATATATATATATTTTTTTTATCTGATAAACAGAAAAATCTGTATATAGTGTGATAGAAATCTAAATACAAACTTAAATACAAGCTTCCTTAAAAGAAGAAAACAAAAATGAGAAATACATGATTATTAAGTATAAATATTAGTTATTAAAATAATTTAACAAATTCTGTTTGTTTTACATAAGTTAATGTCACATAATTAATTTTCCATAAAGAAAACATCTACATCTACAAATTTAATTTGTATACAAAACATATTTCTATAAAAGAATCTTTTAAACTCGAAAGCACAAGTATATATAAAGTGTCATATCACTTTATTTAATCAATAATAACATTCAATAATACATAATTTAACTGATAAATGTATTTTGTGTTTAAATTTTTACATAAGGACATGCGTTTTGTTATGTTACGATACATTCGATTGTAGGTAATACCTAATTTTCAATATCGTAGGCAACTATGTCATGTAGAGTTTTGACAAGATTCGAAACATCTCAACGCCCCATTTTGTAATTTACATACGTAATACAAACGACTCCAAGTAGCATATGTGCGATTGTATTTACATGAGTAACTTTGTTATCGCGCTTCACATTCTAACAAGTAATTTAATTAACGTATTTTATCCGTATGTACTTTTATTTAATCACCCTCAAGTATCAATGGCAAGAACTTGCGTTTCTCTTTTCCTTTCCCTTTGAAGAGCTGTACTGTGACTAAAAAGATGATGCCTTGAATTACGATGTAACTTACAAAGTATGAATAATATTACACGCACGTTTCGAATCCTATTGTATTAAGAGTCAAATGATGGTGCGCATCGTCGCATTCATTCATTCAAATAACATATGTACATAGTATATTCCCCGAGACCCAATCTCCATACCCATCCCATTCCCCAACGTAAAGTGAACAGATTAAGGCTCCAGCAGTCTATAGGCTACATTCTACAATGTACAATATATTATGTACTTTGTTAGTTTCCGTTTTCGCGTACAATGTCTGGCTGTGTAATGTGTAGTAAGCGATAGCACCAAGAGATTTCCCGCTTCTGCTTTCGAACTCGAATGACTCTTTCGTGACGGCTACACTAAAGTGATTTAATTTAGAAACCAAGTTGCGCAATGATTAACATTTATTTCATTCAGTAGTTCATTAAAACTTTGCAACGTATCCAGTATATAATAGACATACTTATTATAAAACAATACATTTTAACAAAAATGTATATAGAGACTTATACTTTTATGAAATGTAAAGTTAGATAAAAATAGTAGGCCTTGCCCACCAATATCTGTTAAGAGTTATGTTTCCTTGTTTCTCGTACTTTGTGTATTGAACGCGGTAATGAACACTTAACGGTGTTCGGTACCGGGCTGACAAATCATGGTTAGACACATCTAATGTCTTTGTATTACATTTGATATATTATGCGTTTGATATCACCCATGGCCCCAGCATGTTGTATCGATAAGTAACACAATAATCAGAGAATATGTATATATATACATATATATTTATATAATAAAAAATTTGAATAAAGAACAATATATGTATCAATACATATATTATTCTTTAACCAAATTTTTAAATACACGAGATGTGTCATAGAGTCGCTTTGAATGATCTAAGACTTAAGCGTTACAGATTTGTTTTCTTTAAAAGAAATGTCAGTCTACAGATCTTTCTTATACTTGACGCAAACTGTCAATTTCGCTAATTTATTCACACATCATCACATCCGTAAGAAAATTTTTTTTTGTATCATGTAGCATTTTTCGTACAGGCTCTAATCGTGTTTCATATATAATTATATTTATATCAGAAAACGTAATAATATATTTTACTTTTTAGTATTCAAGCATCAGATAGATGGTCTGTAATAAAATAATTAAAATTATTTTGCTTTGAGTCAGGGTGAACCATTAAGTGATAAATTATGCTAGAGCAGATCAATGTAAAAGTAATGACATAATTATCAACAAAATAATAACCTCAGTGAATAACATTGCATATTAATTTCTCTTATTATAATATATAATAATATACAACATATAATAATATCCTCCAGATAGTGTGTTATTAAAAGTAAAAATATAAATAATTATAAGATATCACTGATGTTACTATATTTTTGATAAAGTTTATAGGAATTTATAAATTTTATCAGTTGAAAAACTGCCTATATCTGCTCATTACTTCACAACTACATGATTATAGTTTAAATTTATTTTCGCTATCTGTATCTCACAATCTCAAGCTATTCAACACATTGAATTCAACTTCAGTTCAATCACTTAACATAAGAACAAGGATCCCTATTACCCCATTATAAATAATGAATAGATCTTTTATCTTCGATACTTAATATCGCGTTTATGTCTATCCAAAGATTATGTCTTGCACTATGCTGCACAATGCGAATATCACGGACATCATTTTAAGAAAGATGGTTAGTCAAAATGAAGAAAAAAAAAAAACATCGCGATGTATAAAAAGGTTCCGTCATCGGATATTGATTTTCGATTTTACAAGAATTAGCATATTTGTAAAAATAATGTTTACTAAATCGTTTAACATTACATTATTTTATGAAAAAACTCATGTAGATTTAAAAAATTCTGCTTTTAATTAATTTTTTTTTTATACAATTGACAACGCCAAAATGTTGACCTTTTTGTTTTATTGCTTCTTGTAACAACATACAATATGGAGTCGAGAGGAACCTTGAGTGCATGCATGAGTCGAATATCTCTAGTCAGACATTATTTAATAGTGTTATAATTTGCTCCCATGCACATCACACCTCCAGACTTCACTCATGCAGCAAAATGCGCTTTTTTAATTATTTCTTTTAATATAAAAAAATCTATTTCTATTGACTTTTAAGCTCTTTGCCAATACTGTACGACACAATTTTGTTCCAGTCAATTTTTGTTCGCATTACTGGTAATTGCCTTCGCAATGCTTTAAAGGTGGTGTCGGACATTGTTTGATAGTTCTCGGAAATTGCCGTTTGATAATCGTTTTCGGATTCCTCGACAAATCGTATCAAATCCTTCGCCGTTTGTTTCTCACTGGAGATCGGCAGGCTCTCCTTCACGTCTTTGCTACTGACCAATTGTACATTTCCATCCTCATAATAATGTACTTGTACTTTGAGACTACCTCTCAATTCGGCGTTACCCGAATTTGGAGTGAAACTGACAGTCCACACTGAACGCCAGCGGCCGTTCCAGAAGTTTTTAGGTTGAAATTGATGATCTTCTATGCACGCCGTTAGCGTTATATTTCCTGCATTAGAAAAAAAACAATTGTTACTCGCAACGCTCTCTGATTTATTTAAAGTCAATTGATCGAAGTAACAATTACCTCCAAGGGATTTTCCAAAAACTGAGCAAGCGCCATGTCTGTAATGACTTTGAGTATAATTTGTTATTTCTTCTTGAAGGGCTGACCTCCAAGGTTCTGCCAAAGGATCTGGTTCGTAAGATTCATAATCTTGCGCCTCTTTTCTCAGGTGATCATATTTAAAACTTTGCTTACTCCGTGCATCGTAAAACCTCTGAGAACCCAAGTCATTGTGTTCCGTTATGAGCGCTGGATGGTCACTTCCTTCTATCTGCGTGTGATGAAAAAGACAAAGTTTTATATTTTACTTCCCGTGCTTATTTTTTTTTTAGAAATCAGACATTGAAGATTGAGATTGAAGAGTAAAATTTGGCCAATCAAAATAATAAGAGTTAAAATTCCTTTATTTTCATTAGTTAAATTTCTATTTTCAATCTTAATCTTCAATGTGTAGTCTGATTCCAGCCTTATGCTAATTAATATATCACAATCTATTTTTGCATAGATTTATCATTTTATAGAAAAAAAAACAGATGTAAACCTTGAATTTTTTATATTGCAAAGTAAATTATTTACAGTAGAAGAAAAACGAATAAAAAAAACATTGTGGCATTGCTAAAGGCATTGTACATGCCAGTAGGGTTTAACCTCAGCTGAATTACGAGTTTCCAAAATATACCCTCGTCAAGATAGCGATCTAATACAAGGAGAAAGAAAATAGTCTTCGTTTGTACATTCGGAGATTAAATAGTGATACGACGTTCCTGTTATCTAGCTAGAGCAAAATGTCCATAACCTGACGCGAGGAGGGTCGAGTATTCGTGCCGGTCGTGCGAGAGCGCGGAGATGTCATCGCGTGGCAATGTCTGGAGCGAGCATCATCCACGCGGTGAGTCCCAGAGGGCTCCGATAACGCGAAGTAGATAGAGACAAAGTGTTTAAGGTCACCGTGGTCGCGCCTCGCGGGCTTTCGGAATCGATACATACATTTAAAAGGAAAAGGGGGTAAACGCGCAAAAGGGCGCCAAGGGTGCGAACCGTATTTGCCGTGAGTCAGGCGAAGGCCGCGCGGGAGAAATACAGGGTCAACGTGCGCGGTACCGTCGGCGGCCGCCTATAATGATGATGACGACGATGATGATGTACCTTAACAGGCGTGAGCTGGTCCTTGTTATACTGAGCGAAGGCTCCGGACGCGCCCTCCTTCAACAGGTTGTCGTTGTTCAGAAGAACCCTCACGTCGTTGAACACCTCGTTGAACTCACCCGGCGGCGAGTGCAATATAAAATCCGAGACTATTCGCACTTTTTCCTGGTCCGGAATCACCGCATCTCCGTCCGCCGCCATCTTACCTTTCCCACTAGCACGCACACGCCGCCGCCGCCACCACCACCACCACCACCACCACCACCACCGTCGCCGATGTCAAAAGCGAGGGTACGGTGCAGTGGTCACGAACGGGTTCAGGTTGTGCTTGGTCTCTCCTACATTTTCCTGATCGTGGCTCCACTCCGCGTCCCGTAGCGCCGCTTGCACTGACTTGCAGCGGTGCTGAGCTGATATACCTTATACCGGGTGGCGCCAGTTCGCCATAACACGCCTGTCTTTCCTGAGAAAGAAGAATGAAGAAAGAGAAAATCGAGTCTCAAATATAATCATCGATCTCAGAAGCCGCGTGATCTTTTCCATCTTTCTCCTCGTAAAAACTGAATTCCTTTTCTGTTATTTTTTTTTTCTTTTCCGCTAAGTTCTATGCAGAGAGATGATTCATATCGAATGAGGATGAATCACACCCTCGAAAGAGTTCTTCACACGCGGAGACGATTTTAATAGATAGCGTATAGCGTTTATCTCAAATCTGGCAGCAAGAGTGATAACCGACAATAATTATTATCATTTGGGTACGCCCAGCAATTGTTAGTTTCTCAAAACAAAATCGCTTATTTATCTTCTCGTTTGTGAACGCGAAAGGCGGATTAATGATAAAAATAATATATATTAATATTACGTTATTTGATAAATGTTAAGAAGAGTCCCTCCACCCCGAATCTACACACATTATAGTAATATTATAATTTTCCACTTAACAAAATGTAAAATGTAATACGCACAATAAACGTACATAATAGTTGTGTTATTAAAAAATTATAACATTGATGTAATTCACAGTTTAGAAACGCCAATCGATATATTTTGTCAAAAAATCTGTAAAAAAAAAAAAATATCACGTAACAGCACTTTATACCATGATAAAAATCGTTTATTAATAGATTGAAGTTAGCATGGAATCACAGAGCGTTATATCGATCACTCGAATTCTCTCGTTCGCAAATCGGTAATGGAACAAAATCGACAGACATGTTTAATTACTCTTGTACAAATGATTGGAGAAATAATCGTTATTTTGGCGAAGACAGCGCGTAGGATATTTTATAAATGTAATTTGGATCATAAGAGGCAATGATCTAGAAGAATCGCTTCTATTTGTTACGCGTTATCTTTTCTCAAATTATATCCCTTTGATGCGCTCTCCGCAGCATTTCGCGAATAAACAACGCTTTCCACGCTGCATATCGAATTTTCAGCATCCGCTGACATCCACATACTAATCAACGTCGTCTCGAAATTGTAGACGATATTTTTCGTCTGATCTTAAGACATCGGAATTCTGATTGAAAATGGCAGACGATCCGAATCGTGACATCTTGCCTGTCAAGGAAGGCTCGTGCGTGGACACGATTATCAGTAGTACTATAATAGGTTCGTATCCATTTGTATCTGTCGTATGTAATTCCACTTGGATAATTTATAGTCAATTATTCGATAAACTTGATTTGTAGCCTTATTTCCTATACAAATGCGCGCGAACATAAATTTAATTCTTCCGACGTTATGTTCCAGAATCGAAATCGACAAACAAATATTACACATATTTATTATTATACTATTTATTTTTGCGTGTAATGATGTGCAAAGTGCGTAAGTAATGTTTTGTATATCGAAAGATCCCAGAGAACGTCATCTCGTTTGCAAACTCGATCGTTATCAGCTGGAGGATAAGTATTTACGTTTACTCGATGAGGCGAGCAATCTGAAGAAATTATCCAACTGCCAGGAGGACAAGATTAAGCGGCTCGGGACGAAGCTGATTAGATTGGCTGGTAATCCAAGATCGTGTGGATTAACATTAGATATCGCCGATGATAGGAATAGAACGGCCGTTCTTGAGCTTGAAAATACCAAGGTAAATTATCTTCAAATAATGGCGATTCTTTCTTTCTCTTATCATGACTTAATAATTAGATCTTCCACTCGGAAGAATAACGTTTATATTCTATTATCTCTATTGTATTACTTCTGTACAGCATAGATTATTAAATTATTCATAATATTATGAATTGACACTTTAACAAAATTAATGCATACTAAGGATTATATATAATCTGTATGACCAAAAATTAAAAAAAATGAATATTCTGAAATATTAAATGTTTCAGCTGAAGGAGAAAATCGCTGTGATGAGGAATCAATTGTTGAGTCACACGATGAGCGGCAGGTCGTCGTCGCGCAGTCGTAATCTCGTTAGACCATCGTCTTCCGGGCTTGTGTAAGTACTAGGTATATGTATGTACTATGACTCATTATGTCGCGGCACATTGAAATACTGAATCGGCTCCCTTTAGGACGTGTCGAAGCGAAAATAATCGCGTGAGAGCGCCATCCTGTCAGTGCATCGTTGGAGCAGGGGACGATGATAACGATATGCGAAATTACCTCATTAAAATCGAGGTAAAACTCGAATAAATCCAAGAGAGATATTTGCACATATACATATATTCAATTTTATATTGTCTTATTTATTTCATTTGTACAGCACAATTAATGTCATATTTCGCTTATACAGAGTATAAAACAGAGTTTGCACAATAATGTAAAATAGCATAAGGGATGTATATTATTGCACGAGTTCCTTCCACGAGGAGAGATTTGATATTCGGATGATTATACAGCCTCACGAAAGCATAAATTTGCTCGTTATTAATGTTACATAATTTTAACATAATGTTCAACTTTTTTTGTAGAAATTGGAGGCGCAGAAGAAAGATATGACATGTCGTATAATGGAATTGGAGAAAGAACTGGCGCATTTAACCAATAATCAAAAAGAGAAGGTGGCGGAAAATGTAGAGTATATACGGGTGTGGCGCCAAATGAAGCAATTGAACGATAAATTAATGACAACCCAAGAGAAAAATACTGTATTGACCACCGAAATTAATGACTTGAAGACAACTCTTGAACTAACGACGAAGTATATTTATTATATATCAACCTCTTATTTTTGTAGATATAATAAATTGTTTAATATATATTTATAACTTAGATATTACGAGAAAAATGGTTAAATACAGTATATTTCTACTTTGTGTGTGAAAATTATTATTTTATTAGGAATAATCAGGAAATAGTTGCTGTTCTTTCTTCGGAAAGAACGCGCATAGCTGAGATCGATGACCAGATGTTGAAAGCAAAGAATTCACAGTTCACATTACGCGAAAAAGATGAACAGATACGGGATCTTGTAAACGAAATTAAAATATTGCAACAACACAATAACGAACTTATTGCGCTTACGTCAAAATATGGGCAAGTTGAATTAGAGAATATTGAACTAAAAAAAAGACTCTACGATGACGCTCAGGAGCAACAAACATTAAGGACTGCTTTCAACAATGAGCAAGCTAATATTATAGCATTAAAAACTGCCAATGAGCGATTACTCGCAAAACTTCAAGAATTACAGACAAATATAGATGTTTTGACAGTACAACTAGCGGTTAGTATATATCTACTGCAAATATTTAAAAAATTGCCTAGTATTTGACTAATTCTTATTATTAGTTTTATAATATTTTCAGTCTTTGCATACGCAAGATAAAAAGCAGGACATCATAATGTCAGTACCAGGTGTGGAACAATGTAAAAAATGTTGCGAAATGTATGATAAAATTATACAATTGGAAAAAACTGTGGGCAATACTAGAGAAGATTGGCAATCGGCTGATAAATCTGTACAGGCGATCGTTATTACTAGCACAAGGGAACAGGGTACAATGATAATTTCGAATAATGAAGATAAGACATCATCTCAATCGCCATTGAAGGAATGGAAGACAAATCAAGAAACAAATGACACGAGTGTTTTATCTCGAGAAAAAATATTAAAATTGTTAGATCAAGCACAAATTAACACTCCTTTGAATGCATCAAGAATCACTCCTAAGGAAGAATGCACGGGCGTTTTGGATGTAGCTCAGAGGCACAGGCAAGTCGTACCCCTCGAGAAGCTACTGTTTGGTGATTCTAATTATTGACAGAAACTCTACCGTTCGGTACTAACAGTAAATATATATTTTATGAACATAGCATTTATTTATATATATATATATATATATATATGAAGAGTATTTAACAAAATCTTTGTGGTATATAAAATTGATAAATAAAACACTATAAAATTACGTTTTTGAAAATATATTCAAAGTTCAAATTCTTCATTAACATAATAGTAATATCCTGCGTTTCAGAATCTTCCAATTGGCAGAGTGCGGAGCTAACTTCTTCGGCAGTCACAAGATTGGTGTTGAAGTGCAACATATTGCCAAGCTTCTCGGATGAACAAATAGTATCTTTCAAACTAACGATGCCACGTTGTTGCATGAGAACTGAAATCAAGTATATAACAACAAGTTTTTATATATGTGCTTGTTAATATTCTATTATTGATTTTGTATTTAACCTTGTTTTATATATTTTGTTTCATACCTTTTTTTTCATGTTTTTCACTACACTATTAAAAATTAAAAAATTAGAATGTTAATAGTAGTAGTATCTATTGCAGTGACGGAGAAATATCTTCTCAGCGTGATACATCAAGCACTATACAGAAGAATTTACAGAAAAGATTTGCATATTTGAAAAATTCAGATATAACACTAGGTCAAATGTTTCTAATTTTATTCGACATTTTGCAAGAATTTTTATTGTTTGCTGATGTTGATGGAAAATCATGCTTGGATCATCAAGTATCTGCAATCGAAGATCCGTTAATTGACGTTAACAACAATCATCCTACAAAAATTACTCGCAATATTAAACAACATGATTTTAATGCAGGAACTACACAAAATTTTGGTAATAATAATCATATAATCTGAGATTTTTACAAATTCTTTTAATACTGAGACTAAACACGTAAAAGTGCGATAACGAGTGTGATTTTATACCTCAAATAATTTTAAAAACTGTTATGTGAATTTAGAATCTGATTATTGTACGAGCTGTTCTCTTAAATCGACTGCCCTTTACTCCAACAAGAAGTGCAATTTTGCATGTAAAAAAAATTCTGCAACCATTTTAACAAGTTCATCATTGAAAGACATATTTGATGATACTTCCTCTCCCATGGCTCACAGAAAATTATCATATCGAGATATTAGTAAAGATTTTTGCGTAAGCAATTGTTAATAGCTCTCTTTGAAGTATTAAATTATAGCCTAGTATAATGTCAATGATTTTTATTTAGGCAGAAAAGATGGTAAAGCTAAAAAGATTAAAATCGCTCCGTTATCCCAAATGCAATTTAACGTGTCACTTGCGCAAAGCGAAAGATCCGCTGTCCTTGCAGGAGAAACAAAAATTACCTTGTAGAACCGAATGTTTGAATGACAGTGTAAGGTTACCAGTGTGCCCAATGGATCCTTTATTAATTACTGATAGGCAAGGTCTCATTGAGATCCACATTTCGCGATTGCAACTTTCTACATCGGTTAGTATATCTCATATATTTACCATTGTTTCTGGAGAACATAATCTTGTTATATTTATTGAGATTATTAGGTTGCAAATATCCCCGACGAAGAAGATATATGTAATCTTCACATTTACGTTAGTTGGGATATTTGGGGCGAAAAGACCGCTTATACGCCAAGAATGGAATGTCCTAATCTGATTTTCAATTCGTCCTCCGTATATCGTATAGCAGATCTCTTCTCATTCTTCAAAAACGTGCTATCGGAATACCTCATCTTTCGAGTGAACATTGTTCGCCGAGATGGTACTGGTTATACATTTGCTCGAGCGAAAGTTTCCATCAAAGATATCTTAGATTATCCGCAGAACAAGTTGCATTATATCGTTCCTGTGAATGGTGTAATTTGTTCTTTCTTCGGCGTTAATTTCGGTCAATTATCGTTGTGGGTTCGGTTGAGCTGCAATGTTGATATGGTCGAAGCTTTTAAGAAGCAATGCGGCATAAGTTCGTTGAAAGATACTCTCCATACACCTCCAATTAAAAAGGATGTATCTAAGAAACCTCTTCCTCAACATATCGTTGATATAGTGTCATTCAAAGATCGACAGCAAAAGGATAGTCCAGTATCTGAAGATTCAACGGATACTCAAGCGCCGTTAGATTCAAGTAACATACCTTGATTGTATATAATTAAGATTTGTATATATACTTGATAGAAATTTGTTTGAGAACTATAATTTATTAGATAATTATACTTTTTTTGTATATAATTAAGTTGATTAGAATTGTGCCATTGGCAACAATTGTATTATAATTGATCATATAAATATTATCGGCTTGAATTAAATTATATTAATTACATGCATTGAATACTTTAATAAAACGTGATGTTATCAAAATCATAGATTTTCAATATGAAACTGAAAACTCGGACGAGGAAAATTTTTACGTCAATTCAAATAATGAAGAATCGCCTATCAATGAAACGAATGAAATGTCTGAAGAAGAAAATGGAACGATTGCAATGAGGTGAGATTTCTTCTTTGTTGTCTTATTGTGTTCTCTCACGCTATTTAAATTACTCATAAGATTAAATTTTGCAACTTGAAAAATAATTTAAATTAGTCCAGATTACAAAACGGATAATAGTAAGGAGAGTAAAGAAAATAACGTTTCGAGGGATTCACCAAGCGTGGCGGAGTTCAAAACATTACTGGCGAATGTAAGATATATTTAGCATGTCATGGAATATATACTTTCGCGATTGTATGAAAAATAGCGAAAAAAGTATTATCTGTAAATTATCGAGATTCGGACGTATTCAGGGTATTTCGTTGCTGAAAGGATCAAGCAGCACGATCCGCGATATGGACGAGATTCTCTCGGACAGAAACTGGGAGAGTTATAAGCAGAAGAGTCTGCTGACTTTTGCCAGTACATTTAGTAATTTATTACATCTGCATTCACGTATGCTGATTGAATAGCTCGGTACTGAATTTAGTTATCCAAAAACACTTGCAGGAGCTAACTCGTTAAACGTGGAAGCACAGGATTACCGAAATGACATCTCTACTTGCGTACGGGACTGTTCCATTAGTTATATTTAAATGCTCCACAAAGAGTGCTGGATTACAAACAGAAATTTTCTGTAATATAAAGCACCGAACATATTTTATATTGTTTAGTTATTTAACGCTGCAAGTTAAATAACTACAGTAAATTAAGCGTGTTCTCTTTTTCTTTCTCTCTTCAGAGTTTAATTTTTTAAAAATTTAATTAAATTTTATTCAAATTTCCGATTTTATTGTTTAATGTAAAAAATTAAGCGGAACAGGCTAATATAAAATTTTTATCGAAGAAATATCATAAATTTATAGAAAATTATATTGTTATATCAGAATAAATTGTTATATTTTACAACATAGTATTTTAACAATATTTAATGTAAATAAATTAGTGCATTGTACACTAGCATATTTCTGATGGAAAAGCATATCTAAAAATATTTTCATTAAAAGTATATCAATTTTCAAATGTACGTGACATTGTATGTAGATTAATTCAACGCAATTTTAATTTAAATACACTTTTTTCAGCGCAATGAAAAGGATGCGATAATCATAGAAATAGTGAGTATGCAGTTTTTCGATGACAGTTGCGTGATGCAGAACGATCAGATACATTTGCTTTACGTAGAATATTCTTTCCTCGACAAACATGGCGAAGATATGGAAACTATTTCTGTAGAAAAACCAAAGACAAGTGCTCAAGAAATGGTTTACAATTATAAAAAAAGTACATATCTTTATACATAATACACAGTAACTATTTAGATTAATATTATACGATAATAAATGTAAATTATAAATTAGAAAAAATATCATTTAGTAAACATGTAGCGTATGTAGATAAAAACTAATAGTTTCATAATTTCAGAATTTTGGATAAATGAAGTGACACATCCCGTACAAAGAGACAATTTGCGTGCCATGTTAGCCGAAGACACAAGTCCAAATATTAATTTTATTATTATTAGTGAACCATTACCCGAGGAAAGAGAAGTCAAAGACTGCGAGGAAGTGGGGTAAGTATAATAATGTATTAAATCTATTTTATTCGAAATTTTTATAGTATTATTGCAAATATATAGGAATATTTAATAACTAATTTCTATTCTTTTCTTTTAGTTATGCAACTTTTAATATAAAAAAATATGCACTTGGCGATGAGTGCAAATATATATTATTGCCGATCAAGGATAATCAAAATAGAGAAATTGGGACACTGAAGGTAATACATATTATACGTTATTTCTTTGTTAATAATGATTAAATTTAAATTTATTATAGATCTCTATATCTGGTATCAATGCTATTCGACAATGTTTACCAGAATTAAGATAGATCAATTGCATTAGATACTGAGCAATTGAGCAATATGAAAGGCAAATGTTACATATGCATTTAGATTATTAAAAGATGATCGAATTGAAGTTGAAAGATCAATATTCAGATTCAAGACGAAGAATTCAATTTCTAATCATATTTAGTTTATTTAAAATTTATTCAAAATTGTCTACATATTTTCTAATATATTAAATTATGTTGTAACGTCAAATTGATTATATAAACAATAATATTGATATATTTGTTAATCTTTAAACTTGCTTGTACTTTCTTGAGTTTATATAAATTATTGTTGGTTTATAGAAGGCTTTGTTTAGCGCTGAATTTTTTGGTCTTTTTAGCATTTTCTTACACTTTCGTCGAGATATCTAAGTTTTTTTCTTTTCTGTTTTGTGCAGCGTGTTATTTGATAGTAACGTGCTATTTTGTTGAACTATATTATTTGTCGAGATTTTATCGGTTCCATTATTCTTGTTATCTTTCTGAAGCAATCGCACGATTTCTTGATGTTGTCTTTTCATCTCTGATGACAGTTTAGTTCGACGAAACACGTCATTATAAATATTTGTAGCTATCTGAAACTCTCTGCAATCCTGTGGACTATGGGCAATTGACCACACACCCATTATCGTGTCGATACCCTGGCATACTCTACACGCACCTGTGTGTATTATCGTAGATCTTTTTTAAAATTCTTGACTAGTTCCCCGCATGTGACATTCATCAAATACGAACAAATTAATTTACTTCGTCGTCTATCGTACCTGTGAACACCGCCAGAGATTTCGTGCGATTGTCAATGGCAAGCAAGGAAAACGGTTCACCCTTTGTAAAAGGTGCATGTCCGGTTAAATTCCAGGCGGGATCCAACAAACCTTGATGAGCGGGCGGAGGTGACAATTTTGCGAGCGTCACGTTTATGGTATGATTAGTAACTTTTATGTCGATTCGCACTCCACCCTGGATAGTTATCCATGAACCTGATATCTTGCAGGGCAAACCTATTTCGGAAAAACATTATTTAGCAATATTTTGTTTTAATATTACGCTCTCTTAAGCCAGCTACGTACGTTCAAGTAAACTTGAGCTGGCCTTATAAACTTCCAAAATATAATAAAATGCAAACCATTGTAATTTGATTAATAAGATTTTAATTTTATCAATAATATATTAGTTAATTGAAAATTCTCAAAAAGGATTTATTGGTATTTGATACCAAGTATCAATTAAATGTTTAAAATTTAAAGCAGATTAAGATTATGCAGTAACCTTCTATCTGTTCATTTTCACTGGCTTGATTTGATTTCATTTCTTCCAATTCGTCAATAATTTTCTCTAATATCTGATTAGCAACTTCCTTGGTTTCGTTTAATGTCGCAGAAACGTTTGCACGTTGTATTTCTTCCGTTGTCTTTATTGAAATCACAGGTACAAGATCATCACGTATTTGGTCGTTAGTTTGTTTTTTATTTGTGCTATTATCGCTCTGGAATTGTCCATGAATAATTCGAATCGCTTTTTGTTTTTCTTCAATTAACCTTTGCTTCTTACCATTGTTGTATAAACTTTGTTTGATACCATTTTCTCGATCGGGAATCAAGATATGTTCTATTGGTTGATTGACAGTTGATTGAGAAAATACCGGAGCATGATCGATAATTTTGTGCATGGCTTGACTCGTGGAAATAATAGGATAAACATAATCATTAGATAAACGCTCTATTGTAGGTCCAACATCCTTCTCAGCGGTGTAGACATTCGAAGTTCCCGGAATTTTGCGAAGGATGTGCGGAACATCCATCGAAGTACCGGAATAGAGCACTAGCATTTCTTGAGGTTTGCTTCTTTCTTGTATAATACTTAAATTTGAATACAGACGAGGTACGCTTAGATCCTGATATTGTAGCACATCACTAGGAGTATGTTCGACTTCGATTTGTGGACCAAGAACAGTATCCGCACTGGTAGTAAATATTTTCGCGAGATCAAGATCAGGATTGATAAAGTTTTCATCAGGAGATTTCATCTCATTGATGTGTATGCTTTCTTTAGGTCGATTGACGTTTGATACTTGAAATTGATTAAACGTTGAATCCTTTTGTGTTACCTCGGAGATATACAAATTTCCTGAAATAGTTTGCTGATCGGTCAGTATCGGCAAATATGTAGACGCGTTATCTTTATTTGCTTGATCAATTACGGGATGATCAATCTCCCAAGGTTCTAACAATTCATAGTCGTAAGTTAAATCTTTGTCATACGAATCTCTGTCTGCGAATTGCTGCTTGAATTGCAAACGATTTATGAATGATTTGGTAAAGAGAGAACCGTTTGAGATTTGTCTAATGACTCGGTCGTTTCCAATCTCATCTTTTGATTGCATTTTAATTGGTTCGGCATTGTCGTTATAATACTCTAAATATTCAAATCCATGATTGTTGAAATTCTTTTTAAAATTTTTTGTTTGCATTAAGTGTTTAATCTTCTTATTTGACATTTCACTACTTTTTTTATGCCTTTGTTTTGAGCGACTGTCATTTTCACTTAGAAAGTTTCGTTCAGCAATGTTATTCACAATTTTTTTATTTGCTCTAATATTAGGAGCAGATAGATTTACCTTTTGTCGTTTCTTCTAGACAATAAATGTTACTAATTAAATTAATATTTAGGTAGAAGAATATGTTGAATAATAAATAAAATCTTTTTCTTTTTACTCACCTTAATATGAGTTTGCTTGCGTAACCAAGGATGTTCTTTGTACTGTTTTAAACCATATTCATTTCTCTTTTTTTTCCCCTCTTCATTACGATTTAATAATTTATTCAGTTTTCTTATACTTATTATTGGTTTATGTATATTTTTTATTCTATCTACCGGTAAACTATTCATGTTAGAATGATTACGTAAAGTCCCTCTCATATTTGCCAATTTTTTTATATTACGTTGTAATTGCGGTGATTCGAGAGTTTTCTTCGCTAATTTCTGTGCTAAAGATTTAGTGTCTTCTTTTTCAGAATCAAACGTAGCCTTCAAATCTATACTTTTGTCGAATTTTTCATTGAAAATTTGCTCATCCAAATTTGATCTTTTCACCACTGTTTCTTTTTTGCACGTGTTATTGTCTTGCACGCGGAAAAAGTCCTTTGTAGGCAAGATAATTGATTGCACAGCAGATACGTCATTGCAAATTATTCTGATTAGTAATGATATTATCATGACGAACCTGATCATAAGGAAAAGCTGTTGTGTACATGTACCGCATCGCAATAAAATTTGAGGCAATACCTGCCAAAGATGTGTACGGTGCCAAGAATATCTGTAGCGTTTGCTTGTATGTATATTTCTTGGTATCATTTACAAAGCATTTGCTATTCTTTAGGAAAATTTTTCTCCTTGCTTTTTCTTGTTTTGTGGTTTAACATTTATTTATTTATTGTAGCTTCACGACTCTTCGCTTCATCGGAGAAGCCGAAAAATTGCAATTTTTTAAGTTCCTCGTAACTGTATCGATAGATATGTAGATAAAAATTTGCGAACGATAAATCGACACGTGAATGTTGCTTTCTTCTCGTCAATCTCATTTTGTCGCGAATGCCTTCATTAGACTGAATAAGACATTTTCACATTGGATTTAGCTTTGTTTTATAATATATTCAGAACTAGTACAATTCAAATCTTTAAAAATTATCTAATTTAAAATATTTAATATAAATAATTTAATCATTTTTAATATTGTCAATTTTTAGTATTTCTTCGCCAAAATTTTATATTATAAAATGTTGTTAAGCAATTTTTCAAGATAATTAACATTTTCATGGCGTTAAACTTGCAACGCTGTATTACATTGTAACAAACTCGATACGCAAATAGATCTGCTCGTAATTTAAAAGCCACATACAAGGAAACATAGGTATCCATAGTTGATCAGTAGCAAAGAAATCGCAATCGGTATAACGTTGCTTAGATTTAAATATGTAGCTGCCTTCGTATCGATTTGGATCTGTGAAGAGAAATCCCTGGAGAGACGTGCAGGCATCGATTATTATTAGAAGCGGCCGAAACTCGGCCAATTGACCGCGCTACAAATTAGCACATGCAAACCCCATAACAATGATTTCGCAGCAGTTCTTATTTTAGCCGTTTGATTTTGAAACAAGAATGATTTAGTTATATCAAAAATAATTTTATAAGAAGAATAGATGGTTTTATTAGAGAGAAAGAGAGAGAGAGAGAGAGAGAGAGAGAGAAATATATGCGATTATTAAATATTTTAATATACTTGAATATATATATATTGACGTACTGCTTAACTCACATTTTACAACTATCGCAGAAGAATACCGAATTGAATAACCATTACATCGATTCAAGTAGTTCAATTTAAAAATAGAAGGAATTTTATTATCCTGTAGGACTATTGTGTGTAATGTTAAAAAAACAGAATTCAAATGTTGCGCGGTTAAGGAAAAAAAAATTAAGAAAACAATAAGAAGCATCATGTCGAAGAGATTATCGATGGCGATGAGGAGGTAGAGAAGAGAAGAAGAACTGTGCTCGGGCATCGGGACGCGTTGTCGCTGGCATTGGTAGCAGTCTCGAGATAGCCGTCGGCTGGCTTCCTCACTGGCTCGGGCGATTTATTCGGGGATTCCTAGGTAGTCGAAGTGGCGAGCAAGGAAATCGACAAGGAAGATCATCTCATATACGTAATTCAATTGCTTTCCCCTTTACGTGTTAAAGCCGATAATCTGAGGGTGAGTGAAAGCCGAGGCAGTCTCGAAGGTCCTGGAGGTCAGTGCATAGCTTTCTCCTCTTTCTTTCCCCCTAGGACAGTTCTCTTCTTTCTCCCCTGATCGCGTTTCCCTTTCTGGCTGTTGTCTCTTCTTTCTCTTGTTCGTCCCGTGTCAGCTCAGCTCGTTGGTGCTATTTTCGCGCGAGTGTGTTGTGCAAGTGTCGAATGTTAGCGTTAAGGTGCCGATTCCGATGTAGAGCTTGTTCGATAGGTCACGTCATCTCTCGCTCCGTTTGTCGGAAAACCTCACCCTGTCTAACTTACCCTACACTTCTGACATGTATATATCCTGCTGTGAACGGTTTACATGTTTTTATATACAAGTGTAAAAGATCGTACTTATTAGGAATGTAAGCGCCATCGTCTTCGATGATTGGTATCAATATCGAAAAATTCATTCAAAGTTTAACAAATACTATAGGTATATATAAATATATAATTTATTATATATTTTTATGTGAAGATATAATAATTGAAATGAAATCTATATGCAATTGATAACTGTTGTCATTTATAAAATCTATTTCGTTAAAATTGTAAATATCATATTAATATTCTACTCTAAATATAATATTAAGATTTAAATTTAAATTCAAAATTATAATCCTGAATCAATATTGGAAGTCAAGTCGGGTAAATGTATCAACAACAATGTTCACTCATCGCTTTGAGCGAGAAAAATAATCGATCGCTTAAATTGTAGTGAATGATACTTATAATTGATGTCTTGATACAGTAATAATTTTTTGATCTATTTGTCAAACTGCCCGATTTGTTTTAAGTAACACGTATAAAATACTGATATTCTATAACTATGCGAAAGTGTGGCACGTGCTACAAAGCGTGATGGTGGTCTTCCTGAACGAGGAGACCTGTAATGATATATGATATTTTGCCTCACCGAGAACGTTACAGATTAATAAATGTGGTTAATTAGTTAAGGTCTGAAATTCGGTGTCACCATCAACTAAACGTTTATTCGTGTCGGTCCCAATTTTCGAAATATTACATTTAAGTAACTAAATAGCTTATTCTATTGAAACAAATATTATATCCCATGTTAAATTGAAAGAAGTAACATAATATATACTCTATTAATTAAAAAATTTAATTAAAAAATAAAGTATACAAAATTTTTTGAAATTTCAATTTTCATTCTTAATGTTATTTTGTAATGGCATTTATAATTTACTTTCGCGTTTCTTTGTTTAGTATTTAGAATGACAAATCGATAATATATTTATTATGCAAATATATTATACGATTTTTTATGATTACATCATATAATATATATTATATTAAATATGAATATTTGCAAAAGATCTTTGGCTCTATGTCCTGAAGATTGTCAAGAATACGAATTTTTCTTACGATCAAAACAGTAAGACGGCCAACCGCGATAATGTATAAGTACAGCCTGAAATTTTTGGGTAAATGAAATGCATAGCTCTCTATGCATTACTCTAGTCGTGCTCAAGGTGCTTCATAAAATAGCTGCACTATTTTCCTGGCACGGTTTCCCAGAGTCAAGCATCCAATGAATCAAACCGTAGGAAGGCCAAGTTTTTAGTTTCGTGTAAACAGAGTTGTACGTATATGTGCCGACACTCTAGGAATTTGCGCATAAATTTTACTTAGTACACTATACAAGCCGAGCTTGGTTTACTTTGCGGAGGATAATAAAAGTTGATAATGTAATTAATTACTTTCACTGTAACTTCTGACAAATCAGTTCATTAATGAAATTTTTATAAAATTTTTATAATTTTGTTTTTCTTGGCTTATTAAATTTTTCGCGGCAATTAATTATTAACAAAGAAATTAATTTAATTTTGTGTCTCCAAATATTTTTCCTGTTTTATTAACAAATTATTAATTAGATGAACAAATTTATTTATTGTTATTTGGGGATATAAATTTATTTTTTATCACTGACAGAAGTAACCATGTAAATTGTTAATCTTTGATCGAGACTTGTATTTAAGAAAGTTCTCTTCCTAACGATAGCTCCAGGGCCATGTGTTTAGACCACGTGAAGTAGCTGCTGTATAATCACTAACACAAGACTAGTATATTTTCATTCCAACGAAAATGTTTAGAAAAATTGTGGATTAGCGCATGATTTGCTTTCATTGCATCAATGATTGGAATCGTGATAAAAAGAAAGCTAATATTTATAAAACTATATAAATTATTTTTGTATTAATTTCACAAAATTTTATAATTAATGCAAAAATTAACAACAATGCAGAACATAATATTTTGAAAGTCGAAAATTGTAATTACATTCAAGTTATTATCTGACGCGCGCGTTGCAGTTTCCCCAAGGATGAATCATCTCGCGCATCAATCTCGCGATTCAGTGGCACTTCGGTGATGCGAAAATCGAATAGCGGAAGTGACCCTATTAACGAAGAAACGGATGAAAATGCGGCCAACACCGCGACGAGCCGACGGAGTCAGCCAATCGCGACGAAGAGCTACGACTGTCCGCGTGTCGGAAATAGATCTCAAATCTCTCAAACCAAAGGTTGATCCACTGAGATGCTTACTTTAATCATCCGTGCATTTCGCATAACTTTTCGTCGTTGGCTCTGGCTATTAGGTAATGAATTACAGCATTCGACCACAAAATCAAGGATCGTCATAAACGCCGTGATTTTCCGCGCTGCGGGAAAGAAAGGAATCTTCCCCGTCACCTTTATCTTCTAACATACCTAACTCCGTTTCAAAAATTATGAATGTTCTTTATTTCTCCATTATATTGCAATTTAGAGTTAACATATTGTCAGAATTATGATTCTTTCTCTATGATTTAGAAAGATATTTTATCTTGCTTGTGTAAATCAATCTATGATATAGTTGACTTCTAGTTGGCAACTATTACAGGTTTCATTATATATTCTTCATTTTGAATGCAGATTTTAACAGATATTAGACATTGCGATTGATGATAACTTTATAAGATTTCTATGGATAATGATTTCTGTTGTGTTTTCTTGATTTTTTGATGTGGATAAGTTACCTACTGCTCGAAAAAGAGACCAAGAATTTACAAGCTTTCTTGAAATTTATCTAGAGAACATTTTGCAACAATGTGTTTAATGATGATATCGTAATGATTTATTAGTATTTATATAATCATAAAAAAAAATAAAATTTGTTCATGTCAAAAATTTATTAATTAATGATATATATAAATTATTATGTTGAAACAATTATTGAAATAACAAAGTATACTACATAATGCTAATTTTTCCATATTAATATATTGCAACTAATAGATATACAATAGAATTAATGGTACAGTTAATTTAGGTAAAGCTTAAATTGTATTAGACATTATTTATGTCTGTTTCAGAATAATGATGTAACATCGAATGATTAAATATACATAATAATGGCATTTAATTCGCGAATGAGTACCACATCCAAAAGAAAAAAAGGTATGTAATATTTATTGTACTTTGTAAAAATTTTATAAAAAACTTTCTCCTTTCCTTAAATTATTAAATTATGCCGAGTAAGCAAATGTAAACAAATTTATTTTGTTTGCCTAACTGTACATTGAATGCTACCCATGAAAAATAAGAGTAAAACGTAGTGTATTATAATAAATATTTGGCATTATACTTCCAAAATACTCTCTCTATATTGGAAATTTAGAATTGCGCTATTTAAATTTTTTGGTTTATAATAAAGGTATTTAAATACTGATATTCTTTCTCTCTCTCTCTCTCTCTCTCTCGCTCTCTTTATATAT